ATGTTGAAAATGGGGAATATGTTGTTGTTTAATGATTGACGTAGCGATTTTCCCTTTAAAACAAAGAAAAGGGTCTTCAGCGAGCTCTATTTAATTAAATCATGTTTTATTTAGGAACTGATCATGATAAAGCCACTTTTTCATGCCAAACTAAATTTTCAACCAATGTTCGAAGAAGTCAATAGTCGGGTCGACGCAGAAGACCCACAGACAGAAGACCCACAGACAGAAGACCCACGGACAGAAGACCCACAGACAGAAGACCCAAAAGGACAGAATACCCACAGACAAAAGACCCACAACTATTTTTGAGTTTTATTGTGCATAAATTTTGGCACGAGGGATTTGTTAATTTTATTAGTTTTCCACAATAAGAGGTTGATCCAACAACGGGAAAAGTTGTTTCGATATTAGCGAAGGCCGTTTCAATAATCCGGACGATGTTTCAACAACGGGGATGTTATTTTAACAATGTGGGATGTTGTTGCAAAAACGGGTGAAGTTGTTCCAACGATGGGAATCTTTTCCCAATGACAGGTGAGCTTGTTTAACAAAGGGGTATCTTGATTTCCAGTATTTTCGGGACTTTTAATATTGTCCAGGTCGTGTCAAAAAACATAATCCGATTAGGTTCAAATATAAAAATGGTAAAAATAGCTAACTGGCCTTCCGAAATTCAAGGAATTTACACCTATGTTGCTAGAAAAGTAGAAACCTTGCTTGTTGCCCTTTCATAATTCCCAAAATTTTTGTCTGCGATAGATTACGGGACATTAGTTTATAGATCAAAGGGACATTTAGTATCAAGGGTTATTTAAGATTAACTGGATTATAGCGAGAGTCAGTTAAGTCCACATGGAGGGATGTCGTGGATCGTTGGTATTAGCAGAGATTAGGTAATTATTTCTGAGTAAAATGGAGGGATATCGGTTGATAAAAGCGGATTAGTAGAATTATAAAAGCCTAAAAGGTTTAAATCCGTTTACACTCCTTTAAATCCCCTAACATCCGATTTTCTGTTTGAGAGAGATATCGGAGCATTACTTCTCCCGGTTCTTGTTATAAACAATTTAAGGATACGAATAGACATCGGTGGATCTGAGATTTTGCTTTTACCCCTATATTCTCTAAATCCCACGCTAAACCAACATATCCCAATTAATCACCCGCTCTTCAATTCACTTTTTCATTAATCAAATTTTATTTATTAACTTTGGAATAAAATTTTTTTTAATATTTTAAAAATATTTTTTTAATCTTGTGCCTAGAAAAATTAGACAAGCCTTTTTCAAAAATTTCAGAAAATCTCTTCTTAAGTTTTGGTTAGAAATTTTTCTTGTGGGTCTTTTGTCTGTGGGTATTATGTCCTTGTGGGTCTTCTGTCTGTGGGTCTTTTGTCTGTGGGTCTTCTGTCCTTGGGTCTTCTGTCTGTGGGTCTTCTGTCACTACGCCGTCAATAGTAATTTTTACCAAAATTACAAAGCAATTCTTACAAAATTTAAATGGTCATTAAACTTGGAAGGATTTAATAATTATATTGAAATATGTGCAGAATACAAAGAAAAGGGCAACTATATAATAGCAATTCATTCACTTACTAACAACGAAAACAGTAGAATTGTAGAAGCTATACAAATTTTTGTAAAAGTTGATAATGAACTCAAGAAATGTGTTTCAACTGAAATTAAAATTGAGTCAGATGAACTGAGGATTACATCGGGCAATTTAAAGACAGGTGTAGGGATTGCGATTGTTAAGTCTCATAGAAATTTAAAAGATGGAGAAATTATAAAACAAGGAAATAAATTATTTAATGATTTTGAATTATATGGTGGTGAATATGCTTTTGAAGATGTGGTATGTGTTCAGGTTTTAAAGCCATTATTTGATGATGAAAAAATAACTGAAAATAAAAATACATTTAATAAAATGTAACAAAATATTCGAAACAAAGAGAAGTTAAGTATTTGTCGAAAAATATTTTATTTAATCAAAACTGGCAAAAATGGTTTTTATTCGATGGAAAATTTTATATGGTCGGGGAAAATGAAAAAGCAGATTATATAGATTAAAAGAACACTGCAGGAAGTAAGAATAATTTACAGTAAATTCAAATATACTAAATTTTGGGTAGGGTTCATTCACGGTTTACATTACTTCGATACAAAAATGGAGTTGATAGCTCAATTCCCCTTTGATATAGTATTTAATTCAGATCCATGCAATATATGCATCCCATAAAAGTATATGCGTTCCATGAAATATATCATTACAAAATCATATATTAATAAGAATAGAAAGCATTCATAATTATAATTTAAATAAAATGATAAGACCAAATTAAATTTTAATAAAGAATTGTAGAAAAAATAGTGTAAGCGAAAATATATAAACAAAATCTGCCACAATCGTGTTAATAAAATTTATTTATAGCATAAGATCAAAATACTCCTCAACAAAATTATTTTTTAAATTTTAGTAAAAATGTCTTTGGCAGTATGTATTATGAGATCAAAGTAGAATGTAACGTCCGTTTTTGATGAATTCATATTTAAATATATTTATCATTTATATTTAAGTTAATTTATATTAAATATGATTGATTAACCTTTGTATCAATATTTAACTTTTTCCTTCACATTATCCGGATACGAGATGTGAACCAAAATTATACATATATAAACTTTTTCGATCCTGATAATCAGAACCGCCCAGTATAATTATAACTCATATTTTATTGTTTTTAATTATTTTTGTATCATTCAAATTTCCTTTAATATAACTATTTCAGAGTATAATGAACATTAATTGAATGGATATCGGGTTTCATGTCATCTAAAGGGATATTTTTGATATTCAGTTATTTGAAAAAATAAGGTGATATAAAAAATTTGGATCATTAAAAGCGATATATCCCAGACCTCGAAATCGTTATCCATCCAAACTCTTAAATCTTATCAGCACACGCCCACATGTAGTATGCCTCATTTTTTTATTGAAAATGGAAAAATTTTCCCCAAATTTTTGCGTTCTTGTGTTTCAAACACTTTTTTAATGTTTGAGAAGAATTGTCAATTTTTCATTGCTGTCGATAAAATTTTGTATTGATTGGAAAGCTTGTAACCTAGTCTATCATCCTTAAAAGAAATAGACTTCTAACTTATGGACTTTCCAGGTTACATTGTTTAAAAGATATTATCAAGTGTGCATTATCTGAAAGCTCCATGTATTTAAAGAGCCTTTAAATAAAAACAAAAGTTTGCATAATTTGAAGTAAAATTATTAAATTTAATTATTGAAGTAAATATTGAATAGAAATTAATAAATTAATGTTTTTAAAAAATATAGGGGAAATTTTGAGAGATTTAACATCTAAGTTCGGTTATTTGTATCACTGTGATAGATCAACTAGCAATTATTAACCGTCAAAAATGATTTGTTGATTTTTACAGATGCGAAAAAGAATTATGTGAAAAAATTTTGATTGTAAAATATCAAGGAAAAATCAGCACTGATTAGACAATTATAACACTCACTATTTATAAATAATTAACATTTGAATAATATTCTTGAATATATTGAAATCACTAAATTTTAGATGTTTAAATCTTTTATTTTTTTATAAAATTTAAAAAAAATTTAAAAATTAATCTATTTAAATAATATGTAAGTATAAGGAGTGTAATACGAAAGTTTTACGCAAATACGAAAGTTTTATACACCCGAAATGCAGGTGAAAGATGGTAAAGTAGTAAAGTTTTTGTATTTAATGTTAGCCTCATTTTTTTATAATCTTTGGTATTAAGCAATCTATTTTATTTTGTAAAACATGATAAATGACACCTTTATTTAGCAAACATTCTGACCTTCGAGTTAGATGTTGAAATTTGCTAATATAATAGAAAAAATGTCAAAATATTTTTTAAAACAAAAAGATTCGATCTAATCCTTCCATTTCTATTGAATTTAATTTATAAAAAATAAATCATTTTGAGTTAGAATAAACGGATTGCATTCTTTCTCGCAAATAACAGCACCACAAGAGCTTACACAATCAAGATCAAGCCATAAGCCGGCTGGTGGAACAACTGCAGTGCAATCATTTGAAGTCGGGCAACTAGTATTTCCTAGAGATTTTGGACATCCAAGAGACCATGGAGTATTTCCACCGTTAAGCTGTTTAAAATATTTTTGAAAAATATAAGATAAGAATTCTACTTTTTACCTGAACTATAACTCCATAATCTGAAGGACTGCCATCATCCCAAAAATTGTATATCTGCCCTCCAAGTATAGCATTTCTATGCAACCCAATCCAAGAACAATTTATTTGTATAGTTTGGCTTACATTTGTAACTGTAGCTTGTTGTAGCTCAGAATGAATAGAAGCTACTTTAGCGCCCAAACTTTGACAAGTAGCTATAGCCTTAAATTTTTTAAAATTGTATATATGAAAAATATTTTGCCTGCCAATAATTTCCAGGATAGGAAATCGGAAGTTGTTTGTATTCTCTATCATTTGCCACTTGCCATCCATTTATGCCACACATTTTTTCAGAACCTACACCATTACAAGTACGTTTACAAATGCCTCCTGCTAGTTTATGATAGCATGAAATGTCATTCCAATTAACATTTCCATCGGCTCCTTTATACATACAAACACAGTCCTCTGGGGAACCCTCTTTAAAATTTTATGTATTTTAAAGCGGATACATTCCAAACAAACTTTGTGGACTGCTGCCTGTATCATTTAAACCACTAGGACATCCTGGGCCCCACGGCTGAATTTGTATTGTCGGAACTCCAGGTGTTGGAATGGATGCATAATATACTAAAGAACCGTCTGCCCAAGTTTGAACTACTGTTGGATCATAACTGGAAATTTTTATTTAGAACTTATTTTAAATTTTATTATTCGATCGATCATTACTTCAACAAGCACAAGATTTGATAGCAAATTTTTATTCAAAAAAAATTCTTCAAATCTTTAATCAAACTTACAAAGGTTCGATAGCAGCACGGTTCAGACCAATATAAAAAGAACGGAACATACTATCAAGTGACGGAATTGGAACTCTTTGTCTACACAGAGAATTATTTGTTTGACATTGATCTAGTAAAGACCAAGCTAATTGAACTACAAATTGTTCTTCCTCATTACTGTGAATGCTAACCAGTTCTCCCCCTTCTTTATTACATAAATTTCTTGCCTAGAATTTGGAAAATAATTATTTTATTATAAATTAATAGAAACAGATTATTTACACGAGAAAATAATCCTTTCAACTTTATCGGTTCGTTTCCGGCTATCTGAAGATTTTTCAATAAATCCAACCGAATAACCTTATCTAATTTATTTATTATCCAGCTCTCCTTCATAGAACAGTAGTAAAAATATTTTTTTCAAAAAACCAAAATACCTGATAATAATTAATCATATCTTGCATAATCACTTTGTATCCATAAACAACCCCAGAGCTATCTAGCCTACTAGCCCAATCATCTGGACATTGATTTGATCCACCATTTTCATTGGAATTAGAGTTTACGGGGGATTCGGAATTAGAATTCGTATTTAAAAAACTTGTCGCCTGACTATTTGAAGTTTTAAAATTTATTAGACAAATCATAGATAAAATTGAACAAAATTTTTTATAGTATATAAATATTAAATATATGTATCATATTTTCCTTAAAAAATTTAAATATATCGATATATTTTTAAATAAATCTTAGAAACTAATTAGAAAAAATCAAAACATATTTTAAGAGACTTCTTGTATGAGGAAAAATACATTAAATTTATGGAACACCTAAACTTAACAATTCTAGAAAAAACATTGAACGTTTTTATCACGCAACTCTGTGAAAGCTATTAGTCAGAGGTCTCCTCAATACACGCTTCAATCTAAAACTCAAATATAGAGATTTGTATTTAGTAACTCACAATTAATGACTCTCAATAATAATTGTTTAATAAGTAAATATAATTAAAAATTATTTATAATAAAGCTAAACCTTTTGTGTTGTGAACCCAAAAAGTTTGTCCCAGCGATTTTATTTAAAATATAAAATTGGCCTTAAAATTAAAAATAAATACATAAAAGGTGCAGATACTATTCTATAAATGGTAGGGGCCAAATACTTTTTGTGTTTTAATTTTTTGTTTTTTTGTTTTTTGAAAATAATTTTATTATTTATTATACAATAAAAATAAAGTTTATATTTGTTATTTAATTTTAGAAATTATTAAAAATAAATATAATCTAAAATTTCAGAATTTGCAAGAATTAAAATAATTTTATTCAAATATGACGATACATAAAATCAAACATTTAAAAATAATTCAGTATGATTTTAATATTTTAGCCGCTTCTTTTTATAGATTGTTAAATCTTTGTGTAAAAACTCTAAGTTGCTTCCATGTTAAAATGTTATCAAGTCTAAATTAATATTTTTAGAGAAGAGACGTTGTAATTTGAAAAAACTTTTCTAGACCTTTGCATTTTAATAGCCTTTTGCATTTATCTTGAATAATGGTCATGATTTGTTCGAATTATCAAAATATTTAACACCACCAAAAGAATCCCCTGTGTAAAATGACAAAACACAACACAACATTACTTATAAACCCCGTGGCAGCAAAATATTGACATAACTACTTTCAAAGTATAAGATAAAAGTTGAGTTAATAGAAAAAAACAAAAAATATTAAAACATTAATTAAAATTGTTATTATTATTTATTCACATGTTTTTCAGTAAAAATTTACACGTTGAATAAATATTTGTAAGGGCGAATTTCCTTTTATGAATTGCCGCATATAATAATATCCTCTTTAAAGGCTAAGACGTCTAAAATTAATAACGTCTATATAAAGCACTTTAATATTGACATTAATAAATATATAAGAAAAATGCCGCTTTTTAATTTTAATGTATTTTGATTGTCTAGATTAACGTTTAGTGTATATTAAAACAAAGCGAGAAAAAATTAAAATTTTTATTTGCTTTATTTGTTAATGAAATGCTAAATAGAAAACCTTTATTTTTTAATTAATTAAAAAATAATATTTGAAATCTAAAGCTAATTATTGAAATATTTTTTTAATTTACTGATTAATTAGTAAATTCCGACTACCACAAGAATAACCTAACGTTGCTTTAAACAATTTATAATTTATTAAGGCTTATTTGTCGCAAAATATAACTAAATGCTTAATTGCTAAGACACTACATATTAATTTGCTACAAAAATTTGAAGTTTTTACATGGGAGGTATTCAAGGTAAAATTAGTAGCCATAAAAAACGTTATTAGTCAGGAATTATTAAGGTATATCGTCATGTACCGCAAGCATACTGTACCGCAGAGCTATAACTTCGTTCAACGTTGTCAAATCCGATTGCCCAAGTATGGTCCGATTCAGCTTGTCAAGACGCATCGAAACATACCGAGGCGTCCCATATCCTACCACTTTGAAATAAGTTATAGTCTGCGCTACATTAGCCTTGTCCGAAATTATTAGTATCCGCCTAGAGGCCAGAAAGTTTAGCCAATAACATAAATTACTATATAAATAAATTATTATTTATTTTAATAAATGCAATATTTCATAATTAAAAAATATTTTCTTTTGAAAAAGGCGGTAAATAAAAAGAAAATTTTTCGAAAAAGTGCAAATTAATTTTTTTATTTATAAAGTCTCTCTCCCTACATCCTTTATAAAATTAACAAAGAATATGTGGAAAGAAGCGTTATTTTAAAAGGAAAATTTTTAATTTTTATTAAGAAATAAAAATATGTTTATTTTTTTAATTAATTAATTTATTTTTTATTTGATTCATTTATTTAATTACTTTTAAATTAATTTTTTTTGTATAATTTGAGAGCCTTTAGATATACTTTAGCCGGTAGCCACTCCAAACCTTTCAATATGCATACCATTCGATCCGACTCGCGAGCTGAGTCGAATGACATCGAAAATAGCTTGATTGAACAAGTTTGGACAAAATTACAATAGAAAAATAATCCAAATAAACCTATGCGACGCCGGCAAGGCACGTACTGCAAAACCCGGCGTTTTTTCAAAACCCTGCGCGCAGGGTTTTTTTGCAGCACTTGCCTCGCGGGATTTGGGCACACTATTTAAGACGATTTCAACATTTTTGACTTTTTAAATAAAATTCTTAAGAAATCAAACGTTATTCAAAAATATATTTGTACATATATCAACAAAATCTTTAAAATATTTTTTCAGTAAATTTGATAATTAAATGGAATTTTACTCGTTTTTGTTATTTCTGATTGGATTTGGATGTATTTTGAATGTGACAAATTCAATGATGCATCCAGAACCACCTCAGGAAATTCAGATGGTGGGAGACCCTGCTGGAAGTGAGTTACATAAAATGAACGTTAATATATTAAACCCTAAATTAATGTAGTGGAATGAATCATTTTCTAGGACGTCCCACTGAATCTTTCGGGCGTGTCGACAAAAAATATTTTGGTCAAAAATTCATCATATAAGGGTTTTGTGGGTGAACTCTACTATGTAGTCTAATAATAAACTGTTCCACAAAATCCATTTTTCAATTTTATTTGTATCCGTCTTCAATATAATAATAATCGTTCATTTTATTTTTCGATATTTTGTGTCACAAATTCCTTTTGAATTAGGTTTTAGAAAATATTTTGTTTTTAAATAATTTTCTCGAAGTTCTAGCCAAACACCCTTTAAGAGTTATGGTTCCAACACACTAAATTCTCAAACTTTTAGCTCAAACTTCACAATCATCAAATAATTCTAAGGGATGTATGGAATGCCCTCATTGCAACATTTGTGAGTGTTGTCAATTTTGCAAGCTTGTTTCTTTATGCAAGAAATATCTGGGTTCCTATAAATTTTTTGGATTTTGTTGTAAAGGAAAAAATTAAAGAGAATTTTGAGAGATATACATACGAAAGTTAAAGTAAACAAGTTTAAGTAGATTAATTTCGTTCGAAATTTTTAAAATTCGATTATTTGATAAAAAAATAAACTTTTTTCTGGTATAATTTGGAAGGATCTGTTTAATTTTAAACATGTAGCAAATTACTATAAAAAAATTATAACAAGCATTATTTACTATGTACTAATCCTATATATGTATAATTTTATAAGATTTGTCTGTCTGTCTGTCCGAGGGGTCACTTCGGCGCAAATATGTATTTGGGCGTAACAAAAGAAAAAGATCTGTCCGCTCGATGATTTCGCCGCGAGAAAATTTTGGCGTAACAGTTTTCTGTTTACTCTGCAGTTTGCCGCGCCTGAATGGCCGCGGCAATTTTGCGCAAATATTTTTGTGGCGGAACAAAAGAAAGAGATCTTTACGCTCGGTAACTTCGTCGCAAGTAAAGTTTGGAGGTGTAATAAAAATGGAAGTTGTTTACCCACCCATAATTTTGGCACACGAAAGACAAAAGTTCTAGAAATGGATAACTAAAAGTTTTGAAATTATTCCGGAAATTGTAAATAAAATGACATCTTTAATGCGATTAGAGTCTTAGAAGGTAAAGCGGCTTGAAATATCTTAGAGGACTTTGATAGGGCGAAACATCAGGCTTTAAAGTGGTAGATAAGATCTAAAGGGTAGATAAGATCCCAGGACAATGCGAAGATAAAAGGTCAGACTGGGTTGATAATAGCAAAAAAATGGGTAGATAAGAGTACAGACTATTGTTAGATAAAGTTTTGGTATTGGATAGATAAGAGTTCAAACAATGGGTAGGTAAGAGTTTAGACGCTGGGTAGTTAAGAGTTTTGCCAAAGGGTAGATAAGATCCCAGGACAATGCGAAGATAAAAGTTCAGACTGGGTTGATAATAGTAAAAAAATTGGTAGATAAGAGTACAGACCTCGTTAGATAAAGTTTTGGTATTGGATAGATAAGATCCAGACAATGTAAAGATAAAGGTTTGGGCACTGGGTAGATACAATCCAGACAATATGGAGATAAAAGTAAAAAAACACCGTGTCCTTTTTAGGGACACAGTGTTTTAGACTAGCGAAGAGGCTCGCCCGTAGGGCGCAAAAAATAAAAAAAACTGCTTCTTAACCTAATATCAACTTATTACATGTCCATGGTTTTTAAAGTTCCAATTTTTTATTGACTTCAATTTATTTGTTTCCTAGACATTATTTTTTATTCTTAAATTTTAATTGATTTTTTTTAATTTAGATTTATTATTTAAGAATCAAATTTATTTCTTAAATTCTTATTCAAAAACCATGGGCAATGTTCCCATTACTTTCAAAACACTTAAAGATAAAATAACTGATTTTAAACGAATTTTAATTTATTACATGTCCATGGTTTTTAAAGTTCCAATTTTTTATTGACTTCAATTTATTTGTTTCCTAGGCATTTTTTTATTTTTTAATTTTAATTGATTTTTTTTTTTAAATTTAAGATTTATTATTTAAGAATCAAATTTATTTCTTAAATTTTAATTCAAAAACCATGGTCAATGTTCCTATTTCTTCCAAAACACCAAAAAATAAAAGAACTGCTTCTGACGCAAATTTTTCCCCTCTCTCAAATTCCAATGACAACAGCAATTCAGCAACAGAAAATACTGACTTAATCG